ACATCCTTCCCCTACAAAGCCTGCACTGGTGTTCACTGTTAATCCATTGAAAGGAAAATATTTTTTAACTTCACATTGATTTGCAGCAATTTTTGTCTTCAGGAATCAAACACTACACTTCTTTCTAAATAGGAATGTAATGAATTCCTCTTGTTCAACAATTAATTAGGTCACAGTTTCTACTTATGTATTGAACATGCATATTGACAGTTCTTTATGTGAAGAGGAAGGACATGAGGAAACAGCACACATATTTCAGTCACAATTTGCAATATCATACAGTCTGTTTCATGAGAGAACTGTACTCTTCTACCAACTTCTTCTTCTCATTTAATTTTTCCAGTATGGCATCCATTAAGTATGAGGCAAAAGGAAACTGAAAAGGAAACATAGTAAGAAAAATGGTCATCGAACTTTAGTTTCTTCATGTGAAAGACATTTATTAAATACCTTTAAACCATTAGATTTCACTTAGTTCTGAGAACTATCACACATGCACACATCTGATCTTTAAAGTTCACCTGCCTGGTTAGTGTCTGACAATTTGCTCTCTATCATAAAAATGATAAAAAGAACAGAGTAAAATGAAAAAAGATAAACGCCTTATTGAACAATTCATGCTTTACTGACCATGTTAATGATGTAAACTGCAGTACCAGCATCTCTGTCATTTATCTTCCATCAGCTGATCAATAAGAAGTTACAGTCATTTCTAGGGCATACAGAAATGGTTGTGTATGTTCACAACTCTCAGGAGGATGAGACAGAACTACTAGTATAGTTCTCAATACTGTGGCAACTGACTTAGTCTCACATGTGAAAACTTGTAAATAAAAAATCCCAAAGCAAACAAACCCCAAAGCCCCAAAAGCTCCAATTACATTGATTTGGATATGACACAAACGTCTGCTCCTCTGAAACACAACACCAAAAAATTGCATTTACATATTTAGAGACAAAAGTGAAAATCTCTTTTATATCTCCTCCAATAGAAAAGATGTATTTGCACAACTGATGTCTTCAAAGGAAGAGATTAGGTATACTTTTCAGTGTCATTGCTTTAATGCTTAAAGAGGTTTTCTCTCACAGGCTTGGTGCATCAGTGCACTGTGCACTGGGGAGTACTTTTGGACAAAACACGAGTCATTGCAGATCCACGCAGAGAGTGGTTGGTGCCGTGCTAGAGGAGAGCAGAACGGCTTTCATTCACTCTTGGAAAGCCTCTGTCAGCTTTCCTGAACTCCTGGTTAGACCAGCAGTGACCGAGGAGTCAGTCCCACACTAAAAGTAACAGCTGATGCTCATAGCAGAAGGAGAGATAATTTTACCTTAATAAGGTCACCAGAAATAAACTATTAAATTATTACAATATTAAATTATTATTAAAATATAGCAGTTGGTTGAGCAGGCCAATCACCAGCTTCCTCTATTTTCACAACTGTAGTTCGAGGCAATACTGTTGCATCTAGAATCACTCTATAGTTCTGCACTCGAGTATCGCTGCTCTGATTTTATTTTTTCACTTCTGTATTCCATCTTAAAGAGAAAACTATATGATACTTATACCAGATAGAGTACTGCCTATTTCCTAGATACATGAAACAAAATATATCAAACAAACAAACCCAAATGCAAAAATACATAAAATACAAATGCTGGTGTGATGTCGGAACTGATACACTGATATGAATCTACATACTGATATGTACTCGTAATTACTAACAAGTCAGAAAAAAAATATCTAAAATGGTAGCAAGGAAAATCTTGTTAACAGCAAGCATCTATCATGAAGTGACTGTAATGGCAATCCTGCATGTTGCTCAAAAGTCATTTTGCAGTTACAGAAAAAGGACGATAATATGCACTATTTCCCTTTTCTACAGGAAAGGAGGTTTTGAAGGGCTGGTACTTGCTGGCCAGACATGTCTCCATCTGTCAAAAATAACTTCTGTTTATGGTAAGAATTTTCTAGTAGTCATCTACACATGTCAGCTTTCTCCTGCATGCTATTGTGATGACTTTTTGGGGAATAGATGGATCCAATTCACTGAGCACAAATCTATTCAGAGTAATATAAGACATAATCTTATCTGAAATTCTGTGACACTTACTTGCTACTGTGCTTTAAAAACACTGACCCCAGCATCCTGTTCACTCTAATTGCTCTCCCTCCTTGTCTAAATATGTTTTTTATGAGAACACTATACCATTACCTCAAAGTCTCTAATTCTTCTTGCCTAGCTTGACTACATTCATTTCTGATACATTTCACCTCCTTAATGTTGTGCCTGAGATGAATGGTTTCTTATTGATGTCTCTGGCTCATATCATTCTAGCTACATTTTACTTGCTGCTCACTACTCTCTGTGGCTTCCATGCCATAGCAAAGTGATCTTTCAAGAACTCTTTCCATTTAAATCATTCATTTAAATGAAGAGCACTTGAAAGTTGAATGTGATGTAATTCTTTCAACATTTGTTGGTTTCAGAGTAAAAGTGCTGTATGTTTTTATCTGGTTTTCTTTCCATACAGGCAACCAGAACTCAATGATCTCTACAGTCTTCATCTTTAATAGAAGCCTGTCAGATTTACTTTTAATGATGGCTCTGTAACTATCCTGGGAAGCTTCCCTCTACACTTCTCCCCAGAACTTCACAACCATTGAAGATATCTCTACTCCAAAGTATTCATCGCAACTTCCAAACCTGCCATATGCTTGGGGAAGGCTTTGGGAGTTCAGTGAGTGCTAAGCGCACACCTAAGGAGTGAAAGCTTGTTTATACCACTGATAATTATATATTTTAATACAGAATGATACTTCCTTCCAATGGTTCACAGTTATCTGTGCCACAATCAATTTATGTGAACACTAAGCATTAACAATGATGGCGATCCTAAATCAGTACATTATGGTAGGCTTGAAGAGAAGTAGTATTTAATTGATTTGTATCAGTTCAGAAAATTTGAAAGTGCAAACTACATGCACTTAAAGATTTTTTATTTATTTATCAGAATTAGGGATTTCTTCTTTGATACTAGAAAGCCATATGCATGAAATAGCATATACCAGACATATCTGGGTGTATGGATCACTCTGAGGCAATATGATCCTAAAGGTTCAGGAATGCTGATAGTTATTTCTATTTCTTTCACCTATTTATTCTGACCTTGAGTATACTTCTTTTAGAGATCCCTTCCATAAAAAATAAACTAGTAATATTTATTGACCTTACACGACAACAAGAAGTCTTGTTCCACACATGTGCATAAATATACACTGATCTGGCAGTGAAAAGACTCATAATGAATGCAAGGCAGTGTTGTTGTTCTAATGAGGCATAGTGTCTCCATTCACAGAGTACAATATTACTTGGCCTCTGCTTCACAAAGTCTAAAATGCGTTAACATAAAAATAAAAGTATTTAATACACAAATCAGTGGTTACACCTATTTTAAATCTCCCCGTAGGGATAATCATTTCCCAACAAAACTGCAGAGCTGCCTCAAATTGAATTAAGTGAACCACAAACAAAAACCTGAAATAAAACTAAAGATATTCAGATTACAATGATCAAATCCTCCTAATTTCATTATAAACTAAAAGTCAAAGTCTACAAAAAAATTAGAGAAATGCTTCACTTCATTATTGTTCTTTGTCCATTCTGCTTTGTGATGGCTGTACATACATGATTATATACATATGTATGCACCTGTCTGTATTCTTATCCTGAGTAATCAAGCCAATTTCTCCTTGGTTTCAGTCCAGGAAAAGTGATGTAATGTGGTTTTGTTTGTGTGCATGAGATAAAACATAGATTTATACCATAATGGATTGTCAATGCACAGGACTGAGCTCTTATTCTTGTAATGACAAGAAAATCATGGTTACGTTCTGATGGTCTGGTATCAGTGTTAATGGTGCCCAGGATATGGTTCAGACTGCACTGGTGCTGCTTTTTAAGCTGCAGGTACTTGAAACACCCGGCAATGGTGGCAGTGGTGAGTGTGTGCAGGTGCGTTTGTGCATGGGTGAATACATACGTGTGTGTGTGTGTGAGTAGGGGACAGGCAATGAGCAGAGACCTGTTCAAAGAGAAGGAGAAGACAGACAGAGGCCGGAGAGCAACTAATGAAAGCAAAGCGGGTGCGTTCCAACCCAAGAAGTCTGAAAGGAAATAATCATAGCTGTTAGTGCACATTCCCAGATGACACCAGAGGAAACCTGTATTTAGAAGCCAGTGCAAATCCTAAAAAGGGGTTGGGGAAAATCCCTACCAATGAAGAGTGAATATACTGTTCCAAACCCTGTTCTAGAGATGGGTTATACACACATCTACAGAGCACCCACAGAACAGAGGGGAGATTTTCTGGAAGTTTTGACCATTGGAATATGATTTGTAGATTCATAATGAAGTCATGAGAGAAAAGATTTTATTAGGCAGCTTTGTTTATGTGAGATGTGATATCCTGAGGAGTACATGAGGAGGGAGGAAAGGCAAGTGCTGCTGTGTATCTGACAAGGCATGTGCTAAATCAATGCTGTCATTTGGTTCAATGCTTGGAAGAGTTAGGCAGATGATTTTTATTTTAAAATAGTTCTTGGAGACTGCAGGCAGTAATCTAGATTGGGCTAACAATGCTGTACTCACATACAAAATTATTAACAGATAGTTCCAAGATGCTGTTCCTTACAATCAGTCACAATGAAGGAAAGCCTTGGGTGGTACAAGAAATCTTGTATAAGCTATGTGAAAAGAAGTCATTCTCTTGATTCAGCTGTGTAAGTTTCCCATGATGGGCAAAAGCTAGAGAAGATTGCTGGGGTTTGGTTTTTAGGTGTTTTGTTTGGTTGGTTTTATTTTTTATTATAAAAATAGAGTGCTACTATACTGTACCAGGCCCCAATAATAAGACATACACACCCAGATGTGAGGGACAAAGTAGGTAGAAGCCTCATCACTTGCCATGCAAGCTGTAAACACACATACATATTGATAACCATACTTGTTTCCTCCTCTCCCAAATACCGTGAACTGCTGAAAACTCAATGGTCTATGATGTGATACTTTTCCCAGCTTCTCACTCCCATGCCCAATCACTAATCCATAGTCAGTTCGATGTCTCTGTACATGACTCAGATTCCCCTGTGCAGGTAGCAGATATCTGCATGCACTCCTGTGAAGCCTCTCCACATACTGGTTCTTCATAGGCAAGACAACCTTTTACCTTTTATCCTAATGTCAGTTATTAAGATGTTTCATTTTTATACTTTAATGAGAACACTCTAGTCATCAGGTGCTAATGTACAAATACAAAAAGACAACTGAAAAAACACTTCAAGCTGTTGGTTTAGACAGTAAGTGACTTCTACCAGCTCTGTAGAATTCAGAATATGACTGTACTTTTCGATTAGACCTTTCCCATTTACAGAATAACATCCTGATCTAGGGTTGTCTCTTATCAAATTGTAAGCTTCTTAGCAATGGTATAGTTTCTACACATGTGCTTCTACAGTAGTTGATAAAATAAGGACACAAACTCTGACTGGGGTCTGTGACCCTCAGGAATGCAAAAATATTTATCACTGAAATATTAACATTCTTGTAAAGTTGACAGAAATTAGAATTTTTCCAAGTCATAAGAGTACGGAAAAGAAAGGTACAGATGAAGTGTAAAACAGAGGTGTGCTATCCTTTATCATTACACTTTAGGGAATCCATAAAATGACAGTAAAAAGCAACTAGTGCTTCCCTCAGTCCCCTCCAAAATTCTAATGCAGCAGTAAAATGGCGTATGTCAGTAATAAAAATAAAACGTCTATGACATTTTAAATGTTATCGTACTGTCACAGTGGAATAAAATTAGCTTGAAGAATGATCTAAAGGGATATGATGCAGTTCATTATGTATAACAGCAACAGCAGCAGTTTCCCAGTGTTCATAAAGGTTTCTCCATTAAATTTACCTCCAGTCAATAATTAGGAGTCCACAAATAAACCTAGGCAATTAAATCAATACTGCTGGGCAATTATGTTCCAAAGTTCTAGCTAGATGGCACAAAAAGACACTATATCAAAATGCAATATTAAGTGATCTGATGCAATTTTCGACTGAATATTCTCTCAGAATAACAGAAAAGGGCAAGCCTGCATCTTTGTTCAAGATGCAAATGGGTACACAGTTTGCCAACCTAAGCAGCCCATCACGAGCAAAGTCCTGACAGAAAGCTTTCATTTCACCATGAGCTTTAGTTTTCAGATCAGAAATATTACCAATGCCTACTAAAGGAAACCACAACCAAACTCTCTACAAGATACAAGTTAAGCATTTTAAAGGGCTTAGGACTCTTCCATGAGCTGCTCCCAAAGAGAGACCAAGAAATCTTAGCAATTTCCATCCATGTGACTTAGCATGGACAGAAATGAAAAGCAGAGCTGGCTGCTCCCAAAAAGCACTAATCCCCTTGCAATTCTAAACATGGTCATCTTGCCAAGAATTACTTTTACCCTCAGAGCTCCTTCTGAGGAACCCCACAAGATGGAGCAAAAATCACTGAAAACCACTGTTAACTTGTACACAAACTGATACGGCTAAGAGCAATGAGCTCCTCTATTCTTAGCTAACATTTCCAGTTCTAATATAGCTGGTTACATAGTCAACAACGCCCTCACTCTCCATGCCTTGTTTTTTGCTGTCTGTCTATATCAGATGAAGAGAAGTGATAAAAATCTGCTTAGGATTTGTTAATGATCTGCCAAAGAATGATAACAGAAAATAATGCAAGAATTCTTTGTCATATTCCATGAATCTGAGTCCTGTTTTGGTGTCCATAATATGGACAGAATCTTGAAATTTATGGATTTTTTAAAAAATTCTTAAGGTGCTTTAGTGAATAGAAATATTTGTGCTTTTACAGCTGAGTTTCATGTAACACTACAAGGTTAAATTAAACTGCCAGGATTTCTGACAAAGCCAGTAAAAGCAAACTGATATTTCCATCTCCTCCACTGCAGCAATTAAGCAGTCTTAATGGTAGTAAGTTTCGATAATGCAAGAGGGAAAAACTCTCATTTCTTAAAAATGTGGTCATAGGACACAATCTAGACACAAAAGCTATTAATGATAAAATGTATAAAAATGTATGTGATTTTTCCATTGAAATGGCTTTCAAAATATTTTCAATCATTCACATTCTTAATCGAAATGAACTACATTGCTAATGGACCCATGCTAGTGAATATGCATTAGGAACACTGGATTTATAAATCAAATTTTATTTCTTTTCAGACATCAGCTACCTATCATCTGAATAACGGAAACAACTTAAATACAATGGAAAAGTTTCAAGAGTCAGTGTATGTTGTCAGCAATGTCCAAACAAAAGCTGAGTA